TAGAGCATCTGCTAGGGAAGGCCCATCATGGAGCACAGAAGGAACAGGTTTTAAATGGCCCATCTCTGCAAGGATTTCCTTCCATTCTTCTGGCCCTGCCAAACCCACCTCATGCTACTCTCCCCAGACTGTTTCCTCTCCCACCTCCTCTCCTTTTCCCCCTATTCACTGGGCTTCCTCCCCCTGTGGAGTTTCACCTATGGCCTTCATGACTTGCTGCCCTCACACCTCCCTTCTTGGTGCGAGTGGGGATGACATGGATTTTGTGCTTGTGCCAAGCTCTGCATTTATTAGAGAGGGGGGAAAAAAGCCACAAAACTCTGGAAGTTTCTAGAAGGCAATCCTATAACATCATCGGTCTCAGTTTTCCCACCTGCTGCCTTGCAGTTTGCCTGGGGAAGGGATTTTTGGGCTCCTTCCACTGGAGTAGATGGTGTTGCTCACAATCCTTCAGCAGAGCCTGCAGGGATGGGGCAGCCACAGCTTCTCTGGGCAACCTGGGCCAGGGTCTCACCACCCTCACACCAAACAAGTTCTTCCCCACATCTCAGCTCAATCTCGCTTTTTTAGTTTAAAACCAGTAGCTGGAAGACTTGGGGGGTGCTGTGGCCAGGCAGTCACCAGCTTGCCCTTGTTGAGCTGGAGAGCTGAAAGATCTGGAGGGGGTGACAAGCCATTTCGCTTCAGGGACTCAGCATTTTGAGCTGGGGCCATCTCTTATTAATGAGAGAGAGAAACGAGCTCTTCAAAGGTAGGTGGCCACAAAGAAACGGAGCAGCTTTGGGAAGGAGCAGCTTTGGGAAGGTAACGGTGGCATCTCCACTTGTCCTGGATCAGGTTGAAGCACCAGGAAGTGTCCGTGCAGGAGGTGACGGTGTGGAACAAGCAGCCTTGGACCTGGGGTGGGAGCGGGGACATGGGGTGTAGCCTTTGCACCATCATCCCGGCCCCATTTTTCCCCTTGGAGCTTGGTGGCGCTTGATGAGAGGACAGAAATCCAGTCCTCTGGGCTGATTTGAATCCTTCTCCTTCTCCTTCTCCTTTCTTGGTGTTTCCCCATGTCCCCACGGCCATTTGTCCCCGAGTGGGCAGCTGTCCCCTGTGGTGTTGTCCCATGTTGTGCCAGGAGCCACTTCCCCACAGCCGAGATATGTGGTGGGATGGGGGAAAACTTGCTGCTTTTCCCTCTTTTTTTGGTTCACCATCAATCCAAAATGGAGCAGCCATGGTTCTGTGGGTGGGAAGGGGGGGACACACGAGGGACAGGAGAGGGGGGTGACTCCTTCCCTGTGCGTGGCAGCTGTGGCCAGCCCAAGGGACGCTCCTGGGCTGTTTTTAGTGCAGCAAAAGGCTCCTTTGGGGGTGAGCTCTCCCCCCTGGCTGGCCCTGAAAGCAGCCACCCGTCCCCCTGGGGGCAGGGGGGGGGAAGAGGGCAGGGATAAATGGAGCCGTGGATTAAGGCGTCAGATGTTTCCTGCTGGGATTTAGTGCCACCAGGGGAGGGTGCATTATAGGTATTAAAAGGGTGAGCTGCAGGCAACACAGCCCTCGGCACCCGTAGCCCCAGAACAGCACCCACCGAGGGGACGTCCCCGGGTCAGGGACGGGACCCCCGTGCCCCCCAGCACAAGGTGATGTTTGTCTCATTCCATGAGATGGGAGTGGGGACCAGACCGGGCTGTCCCTCCCTCCCTTCTCCCCTTCTGTGGAGGGTGGGGGGGGGGAAAAAAAAAAAAAAAAAAAAAAAACAAAGCTAGGATTTATTTTAATTGTTTATTGTATAATATAAAACTACAAAAGTAAGACTGCTCATTTCCATGTACATTTGTCCAATTGGTTTTTTTTTTTTGATTACAGCCCATACCTACATGTGAATACAGAAATCTGGTTTCAGATGTATATGTCTGTAATATTGCATAGAAAAGGCACAGCTCTAAGGTCTGTGGGAGGGGAAGGGGAAATACAGCCTTTTTTCTTTTTTTTTTTTCCTTTTTTTTCTTTTTTTTTTTCCTTTTTTTTTTGTTATTTTTCCCGACAATAACAGGCCCTGTTCAAACATCCATGCACCGAACATGTCACACTATTTACACCGTTTCCAGCCTCTCGGCCTTGGCAGGCGCTGGTTTGGATTACGCTCAGCACGAGACAGGAGTTGAGGGTGGGATTTTTTTTTTTTATCTGCAATTTGGGGGGTTGTTTAGTTTGTTGGTTTTGTGTTGTTTGTTTTTTTTTTTAAAGAGGTTCCAGAATTTGCATTAGGCTTATCTTCGGGAAAAAGTGCTTAAAGGAGAACTGGTTTAGTTAAAAATATTCAGTCTCGTTAATTTAACAGAAGCGCTGAAAGCGACTGGCAGAGAAGGGGGGCACTGAACCCCCAACCAAAAAAAAAAACCCTGTAAGGAGGAGTTTGCAAGAAGCCGGCGTGATTTAAAGTGTTCGTCAGGCAGGACCCATTACCATTTACTCCGTTTAACGGTGATAAAAGTGTAAACTTTGGATTCAAAACGTTGGTGGGATTGTTGTTTGGTGTGTTGTGGTTTTTTTTTTAAACAACCCAGGCTCTGACCACACCCCGTGGAGGGAAAAAACCCCAAATTACCTTTCACAAGGTCCTGATTTATTCTTAAGGATGGTGGCTTCACCGTCAACGTGGAAGGTGCCAGCTTGAGGTGCCAGTGGGTGATGCTGCTCCGTGATGTTCTCCGGATGAGGGAAGGTGATTTTGTGATTTTTCTTTCACATCCAGGGCTGCCTGGTCCCCTCAGGCTCCGGAGGGGACCCGTGGTGGCCAAGGAGGGGCTGGTGGAAGGTGGGTAGTTGGACCTCCAGCAACAAACCCTCTGCCGCAGGTGCCGAGCGAGGTGGTGGCTTCTCCTCTAGCCTCACCTTCCCCTGGTGTCAGCTTCTGGGGTTGGAGGGCAGAACAAGGTGGCAGGATGGTCCCTCCAGCCCCGGGGGATTTCAGTTGGATTTCAGTTGGATTTGCCACGTGTGTTAAATTTAAAAAAAAAAAATATTGGGGGGGAAAAAAAATAAAAATCACCTTTTTTCAAACATTTTCCCCAACCCAGCCCCACGGAGGTGGCTCCTGTTGCAGATTCCAGCACTGGGGAAGACCCAACTCCAGCAGCTGACAGGGGGTAAGAGCCCGGCTGGGACTCATTTTGAACATAAAAACTGTCCCTCATCTTTTTTTTTTTTTGCATATTTCAAACAACCAGACCCATATTAGAAAAAGAGAAGCTGGGGTGGGGGGGGGGATGGGGGTAGGGAGTCGTGACCCATGGCCATCCCCACTGGGACGCAATTCAGTTGCTCTGAATCTGGCTCCCACACCTTTTTTTTTTTTTTTTTCATACAGATTTACATTCCTACAAGAGAATACATTCCTACCATACATTCTGTACATGTTACAATCCAGATGTTGTTAGCTTCACAATAAAATAAATATATTTACAGAAGGAAAAAAAAAAAAACAAGAAACCAACAAAACAAAAAAGAATAAATAATTTACGAAAAACGAAAACAAAAAAAAAAATCACTTCAAATCCAAAGCTCTTTTATTCTGCTCCCGTCTTGTCACTTCATTGCACATTAATGTCACTTCTCCCATCCCTGGTGGGGCGGGCTCTGTGAGATGGTCCAGGCGTGGCTGGCTGGTGGGACCACGGCAAAGGTCCACCGTGCCCTCCTCCAGCCCAGCTAACCTTTTCCTAGCCCAGTTAGTGGCCCCCAGGATTCCCGACAGCACCGAGGGGACACAGACGTGGTCTTCGTGGTGGTCAAGTGGCTGTAGAGCTCATCTCCTGGTCTGTGGATACTTAAAACACCCACTGACCCCCACGGAGCAACACAGCCCCACCAAACACCATGTGAACTTCTGCCCAGCGTGCAGGAATTGTTTAAATTGCCCCAAAAAGGAGGGGGGGCAACTCCAGCACGTTGAAATTCAGTGTTTAACCGTGGTTAAGTGCTCTCCATGGCACCCTGTGACCCTGCTGATGGTACCTCACAACCCACACGTGGCTGATGTTCCCCTGGTTGAACATGGAGGTGCTGACCCTGGTGGGGCTGGTGGCTTGTCCCACAAGAGCCAAGGCTGAGCAAGGTTTGGACGGGGAGGAGGGGTTGGTGTGTGTGACACAGGGTCCTCCTTCCTCACCCCCTCACTTCCGATGGTCCCTAAAGCTACGCTTGGTCAACGGTTTTCTGTTTGAAACACTCACTTTTTCCTCTTTTTTTTTTTTAATTTTAGTCCATGTAAAGGAACAACTGCAAATCCCTCAGCGCCACTGAGCTTGAAAAATTAGAAGAAAGCAAATCCTAACACCCCCCCACCTTGAACCCGTGTGTCCCCCCCCTTCCCCCAGCGATGAATTTGGAGCCCAAAGCACCTTTTGGAATTGTACGTGGGGCTTTTCATTCCAACGAGGGGGGGTTTCCTTCATTGCA